TAAAATGGGTATAATAAATTAATCCTTCATTTAAGCAAAGGAAGAAGAATAGAGAAGACCCACTTCCAACTTGGGGAAGATGAACTCCTTTCTTCAAGTTCCCAAAAACCCTCTCCAAACTTGAGAGAAAATATCTAAAAAGTACTATTCTATTCTGCAAATTAAAAATAAAAGTTACACACTTAAAAATAATAATAAGTTAAAAATAGTGTTGGTGGATCCTTCGACGATGTTAGTCGATGTCGCTGAATGACTTTGGCTATTCGCCCTTCGTTTGTCACATCGTCGTTTCGTTATTGCCTTCAGTATACTCACGTTCTTGACCATTGTATGGTACTACTTCGTGGAACTATTCGACGAAGCACCGACTGCTCCTTTTATCGCCTTTTGATCCTTCTCCTTCAAGGTGTCATGTACTGGAACAAAGGGCCGAGTAAATTCCTTCGGCGAATTGCCAAGTGTGCTTGGCGATGCTCGGGTTTCAGCTTCATCGTTCTTTTCAGCCTCTCTGTTCCTTTTTGCACCTAAGTGTCCATGATTTCACTAAAACTTCAAATACCTGAAACTTAAGAGATTTCGTCAGATATTCAGACAAAATAAGCATTCGAGGACACTATTCTTATTAAAATAAAGCCCTAAATGAGATCAATTTGTGGACTCATCAGCCTCCTCTCGTGTTTACTCGACCACAATACTCTGGATGCCAATAGAGGAAAATAGGGTAACCTTAATATCTCACAGATAATCTCGATGCACTCCAGCTTGCTGAAAGAACTCTGTGATCAAGACCGGGAATGGAAAGGATGTCTGACTCTACTTTTTCTTATGGCCATCTCTTTCTCGATGAGGAGTCTCGGGTTGATGCTCCTCCGGGACATGATCGACCCAAGGTAGGCCTCCATAGGGTGGGGTAGGATGGACTTGTTCTGGGATGGCATGATGGTGCTATTAATAAAGCCAAACTAGAACTGAGCAGTCATCCAAGGACTGAGTAGTAGGAAAGCCCTCATATGTCACTGTAGATTCTAGACCTCTGTACTTTATTAATGCACTCGCTACTACACCTGATTTCCTTAACCCAGACCATGACCGACTTAACCGGTCTGAACTCACTGTCCTTCTTCTAACTTTTATGAACCAACTCTCCATACACTGTATAGAACTCCCAGACCCATGAAGGAATATAGGGGCCTCGGGGCTTACGTAATCGCTCAAACCGATGGAATTTGAGGGTATCCCTCACCCCAGAGAATATGCCCTCTAAGCCCTCTGTCGAAAGTAACTTCTCTTTAAGAATAGTCCTCAACCCATCGGCTTTTAGTATGTTGAGTAGGCTGGAGGGAGGGACCAGTGGAGGCACTAGAGCTACAGGAGGGGCCAGAGCTGGCACTGAATTTGCTAGGGTGGATGCTCTAGGGACTGTTGCTGAGTCAGGGCGAGATCTAGCACAGATCTCAGCACGCCAGGACTATAAGGGCTGGTTATCCTAAGGCTCAAATAATGCAACCTGGGATTTAGCAGACACTCTCTCCCGATCGGAGTTGTGCTCCGGAAATTCAGATGCAGGCCTCTTGTCATTGCCCCTGCCTCTCGCTGGAGGCTCTGTTCTTCCTTTTTTAGGAGGATTTTTTACCCCTTCATTAATCACAATCCCCCGTGCTCTTTTGCGGGGTGGAATGTCAAGGTTAGGCCTAGCCATATCTGCAAAAACATCAAAAAGAGTTAGAAAAAATTCAAGCAAAAGTACAGAAAAGTAGTTGCAAATAGACTCGTCGTAGCTGTCGGTGAGTCGCCCAATCTCTTTGGCGAGCTAGATCGGGCTCGTCGAAAGGATTGGCTAAAAAATCACAGAAAATTTAGCATGTCAGCGATGGGAAGGGCCTTTCGAAGAATCGCTGATAGCATTCTGTGAGCTAGGATAAGCCCGCTGAAAGTTATAGTGCATTTTAGGATCACGGGTGCAAAAAAATGGCGATGAATGAAGACCTTCATGAGTTGCCGAGTGCACTCGGTGAACTCTGGCTTCCCGACGAAAGTTACAAAACCAAACTTCAAATTTAGCATGGAATTAAAGGCGATATGGGGAACTTCGGTGAACCGCTGAGTAGTTTGGAGAGCTCGACCCAGCTCGCCAAATGACTCAGCATGCCTACTTTCAACCCAACTTCCCAAATTCAACCCCCCAGCCCTCGAAAACAAAATCAAAACATGCACTCCTCTAATTAAACTCAGAAACATTACACCCATGCCCCCGGGACACTTAGACTTCTCCCGATTTGGCCAAATTTGGCTATTTGGCAACTTTTGCCCTTAAGAATGACATCAACTGCTCCATCATTGGGCAAAATACATCATTTGGCACAAATGCGAGCTACTTAGACTTCACCCGACTAGATCCAAGAGCATGCAAGCACAGCCCCACAGTTTCAATCAATTTTAAAGCACAAAATGTCGGGAAATCTATAATATAGGCATTTAATGCACGATATTCAAATTAAACTGGGCACACACACATAAAATTATGATCAGAGAGGCCCAGCACACATCACAAAGACAAAATTAATTGCAAAAGAGTACAAATTGCTAAAAATGAATTCGGGGTTAAGAAAACCAACCTTAGATGCCGAATAATCAAGATTTGAAAAGCTAGGTAACAACGATTACAACTTCGAGAACATAATGAACGAATGAAAAATACAGTAAAAATGTAAAAATATAGAGTATGAAAGTGTGGATGTGAGTTTGGGATGTTCAAAACTGAGGGAAAGTGAAAGAGTTTTAAAGTTTAAAAATTTGGACTTTAAAAACCATCTAGTTCTGGCCCATTTAACGACATTAGTCTTGCTAGCCGACTTACTCGGTGACACGCCAAGTGGGGTCCAAACGGTGGACTAGGCCGTGATCACCGACCTGGTAGGTGATTTGCCAAGTTGCTACTAGGATCGCTGAGTTTTACAGACTCCAATTTCAAATTGTCTCAGGTCCAACGGTGGTCCAAGTCGGGCCTGCAGACTAATGATTCCACAATTTGAACTCATTTAGGGCTTTATTTTAATAGATTTAATGTCCTCAAATGCATATTTTGTGCCAATAACTGATGTAAATCCCTGATTTTCAGGTATTTGGATTGAGGAAGAAAGCATGGACACTAATGAGCAAAAAGGAACAAGACAGCTAGAAGAACAAATAAAAGAAGGCTTGATGATCGCCTAACCCATTGGGCAAGTCACCGAATGGCCATGATCTCGGCTAACGTTCTAGCGTGCCAAGCCCTGAAGGAGAAAATCAAGTCAGCAATAGAAAGAAGCAGTCGGCGTTTCACCGAATGGTTCCGCGATACAGTGCTAGATTGCCCAAAGTTACAAAACTTAAAGATGTTGAAGGCCAAAGCAAAAAGGAGATGGAATTGACCAAAGGGCGGATCGCCAAGTGGATCGGCAATCCCGACTTACTGCGCCGAATGGTCTTTCACAACATATTTTTGGCGTTTATAAATACACTTTTGAATATTTAGTTTAGTGTCTATCAATCAAATTATCATCGAATAGAATCTAAGTTTTCATAGTTTAGAACTGAGAGTATTGAGACAATATTTCCTCAGATTTGAAGATTTCCATTTCTGAAAAATTAGAAGTGGGTATTTCAGATTCTTCAACCTTGACCTTTGTGAAGATGAAATTAATCTTACCCAGTTGATAGAAACACAATTTGGTAACAATTTCTATCTTTTCATAATGTCTAGTTAAAACCCCAATTCTTGGGGTGTGATTATGTGATTATGGGTTGATTTAGCTTCTGGGTATTGTTAATTTATAGTATAAATGTTTTTTAAAAGTGATTCCAATGAGTAATTGTGGTCTAATTTAAAGGGTTATAGTTGCAAATGCAACTCTACCTTCGTGTTTTTTGGCTTGCTCGAGAGAGAGGTTTTAAAACCAAGACTACTGAATTGATGGTCTGTGGGTATTGGGTTATCATGGGTTCAGCTTGAGAGAGTGAATCTTGAACCCTTTTCAACACATTTAGCTCGAGAGAGTGAATCGACTAAATCGTAGGTTGTTCTTTATTGATGTTTGTTGGTGTTCGAGAGAAACCAACTTGATTCGGGGTAAATTGTTCGAGAAAAAGTTTATCCCCACTAAAGTTTAGCTTATTCACTGATTTACAACTATTTACTACTAATTGCAATCACCCATTTGTCTACCTTAACCTATAATCCAATCACATCCCAAGAACCCGTCTGATTACTTGTTAATTCGTGTTATTTACTGTTGTTGTAATTGATAATTACAATCAAAACCCTCTCTGTTATTTGACACTTGTGTCACCCTTAATTTGAATGTTGTTTTTATTCGTAAATATCTATTCATATGGTTAAATTGAACATATTCATGCTTTTTTACTGATTCTCAAACATGTACCACTCCTTGTAGGATTCAACCCCAACTCACTTAGTTGTGTTATATTACTAACTAACGATCGTTGACGCTCAGTATTTGATAATGTATATTTGAAACGTTATCAATCAAAATGGTGCCGCAGTCGGGGAGTGGTGTTACTTGAGAATTTTTAGTTAAGTTGAATTTTGTTCTTGTTAGTTATAGTGAACTGGCCTAATTTTAGTTTTTTTTGCTTGTTTGTGTTTTGAAACAAGAAGTATGAGTGTGAACGGAAGCAATGGTAGCCAAGTAGGCCATCAAGATGAGATCGGTAACCTCAACGATGTCAACAAGCCTATTGCTAACTATGACATTTGCTTGCCACCGGCCAAATGGAACGTGGTTTTCCATATCTCGAGTACTATGTTGCATCTCTTGCAATTGAAGGGGTTGTTCGATTGTTTGGCTCATGAGGATCCCCATGAGCATATTAGAAACTTTGTGGATATTTGCGCACCGTTCTCCTTCAAGAACATATCCCAAGAGTCGGTTCGATTAAGGTTGTTCCCATTCTCTTTGATTGGAGAAGCATGTAAGTGGTTGGTTGAATTGTCACATGAATCAACCACTTCGTGGGATGAGCTGGTCACCGCATTTCAAGTGCAATTTTTCCTTCCTTCGAAGATGATGAATCTTCAGGACAGCATTCAGAGCTTTAACTGGTTGGAGGGTGACCCAATTCATTAAACTTGGCTGCGATTCAAGAAGTTGGTGCTTCAATGCCCAACCTATGTTTTGCCCGACAACGTTATGCTGCAATATTTATATCGAAGCCTTGACTCGGTAAACAAGGGTGTTGCCGATCAACTTTATCCTAGAGGTTTAATGCAACAACCTTATGTGTTAGTAGGTCAGCTCTTGGATGGCATGACTACCATCAATCGGGTTTGGTACACCCACGAGGATCAGGTCTCCCCTATCACATTTAAACTGACAAAGGAGTAGACGGAGAAAGACCAAAAGATGGACCATAACATGGCCAAGATCATGACACAACTTAACATTTTGTCAAAAAATGACAAGGGAGTTGGTGCTCGAAATGTCAATGTCGTGGGTGTCAGGTGTGATAATCCTGATAAGGCAAAGTTTTAGGCTTTGTACAATGAAGAGGTGAATTTCCTAGTCAACCAATGTGGTGGTTATCATTCAAACCACCCGAGGCAGGGTGGTAACCAAGGTTGGAACAGGTATGAAGGATGAAAGGATCGTGATAGAGAATGGAGGACCGAAATCCTAATGGGAATGATGGGGAGTAGGATAGGTATGTGCCTCCCCATGAGAGCCAAAAGCCAAAGGATTTGGAAGGTGGCCGGTCGGAGGATATTATTTCTCGTATCCTTAACAAAGTTGAGGGGTCGGACATGATTTTAAAAGAGATGAAAGAAGATGTGTCAACCCTTAGCCAGATTGTTACCTCTCATTCCGTCTCTATCAAGCAGTTAGAGACCCGAATGGGTTATATCTCATCTCATCTAAACCCAAGACAACAAAGGGGGTTTCCTAGTGATACTATGGCCAACCCCAAGAATGAGGTTTAAGCTTGGCCTTGCGTAGTGTCGTGACTTTAACTAAGGCGCTGCTTGGGAGGAAACCCAAGTTTTTATTTTCTTTCTTTTTAAGTTTATAATAATTGTGTGTTGATTGTGCAGGAAGGTGTTTGCAAAGTGCAGGTTGGCGAGTTAAAAGTCCAATTAGCGCATCATCGAAGAGGTCGGCGAGCCCGACTTGGACCGCCGTTGGACTCAAAACATTTTTAAATTGGACTCTGTAAAACTCGATTAGGTAAGTGCCCACTCGGCGTGTGGCTGAGCGGATCGGCAAGCAAAACTAATGTCACCGAATGGGCGAGAACTGGACAATTTTTAAAGGCTAAAGTTTAAACTTTCAAATTCTTTCACTTTCCCAAACGCACACCCGCACAATATTTCATTTACTTTTTTTGTATTTTAGAGTATTTTAGTCATCGAATTAGTGTTCTGAGTTGGAATCTTTGCCGCCTAGCTTTGAAACACTTATTTAATCGGTATCTAAGGTTGGTTTTCGGAACCCTGAATTCAATTTTAGAAATGTGTACTCTTATGCAATTGATTTTTATCTTAGTGATGTGTGATGGACCTCTCTGATGTTTGATTTTGTGCTTCCATAGTCGTGTGCCTAGTTTAATTTGATAATTTTTGCCCGTAATGCCTTTATTATTGAATTCCTAAGTCTTTCGTGCCTTAAAATTGATGAAAATTATGGGGTTTTTCTTTCATGTTGTTGGGTTTAGTCGGGTGAAGCCTAACCTGGAGAAGATTGAGTATTCCGAGGGCAAGGGTGTTATATGTCTCAGTTCAATTATGGCAGTGCATGTTTTGATTTTGTTTTCGGGGGCTGCGGGGTTGAATTTGGGAAGTTGGGTTGAAAGTAAGCATGTTGGGTCGTTTGGCGAGCTGGGTTAAGCTCATCGAACCACTCGGTGGTTAGCCAAAGTTCCCCATATCGCCTTTAATTTCATTCTTAATCTTGAAAATGGTTTTGTAACTTTTGGCGAGAAGCCTAAGTTCGTCGAGTGCACTCGGCAATTCACCGAAGGTCTTTCTTCATCGCCCATTCTCTACGTCCCTGACCCTAAAATGCTCTATAACTTCTGGTGAGCTAATCCTTTATCGCCAAATACTATCGGTAATTCACCGAAAGGCATTCCCATCGTCGATATGCCAAAATTTTCTTAGATTTTTGAGCGAATCTTTTCAACAAGCACGATATAGCTCGCCAAAGAGATTCGGTGACTTGCCAACCGGTTCCGTAATGACTCGGAAAATGATAGGTTGAACTAGAGCCTTAACGTGGGAGTTAACGTCTAGAGTTTAGGAGAAAGGCTAAGGTCTTTGGGTGAAGACCATGGTTTGGGAACCTAGGCTACCTAAAACATAGCCTAGCTACTGCCTCGCTAGGCCACGAGGGCCTTCACGACCCGTGGTGGTCACCAGAAGTCGTGGTGCTACCCGTGGTGGCTAGGCAGTAAGCCCTAGAAAGGTTCCAAGCCAAGGCTCCCCTTCACGAGCCACTTCACTACTCGTGGTCATGACCACGAGCCGTGGGAAGGATCGTGGGGTTACCTTAGCTTGGTGGGAGATGTTGCTAGTTGAGGGAACTACTGTCCCAAAAGTTCACGGGCACCACCACGAGTCGTGGTGCCCTTGACAGTCCGTGAAAGTGAACTTGGAGTTCACTTAGGCTTAAGAGAGGCAAGGCAACTTTGCCTAAGTACTGCCCCATGACCACGAGCTTCACCACGACTCATGGTGTCAACCATGGATCGTAGGGGCTTCCATAGACCTATCTTGGCTTGGAGGGCATGGCAAGGATGGGAGGCACACTGCCTCAAGGACCAGGGGCACCAGCACGAGCCGTGGTGCCCTTCACGACCCGTTTAGTTGGGCGTGGTCCCTGACGTTCTACCTCAAGTTGGGGGTTTTTGGTAATTTAATTTTAATTGTTTTAATATGTGGGGTTGTTTTAAATTGTTTACATGATAAATATATTAGGTTTTAAGTCTTTTAAACAAGTTACTCACTTATTATTTCCCCAAATCAAATCCCAAAGTTCTCTCTCTCTATATTTCTCTCTAACTCAAGGTAGAAGGAGTGGGTGCTAGGGTTTTGGATTCAAGGTTTTCTTCATTAAATTTCTTGGTAAATCTTAGCGAAGGTATGGTGATTCTTCATCTAGGGTTAGCTTTCATCCTAGAGTCAATTTCAAAGTAAACTTTTAATGTTTTCAAGTTCATGAAAACCTAGGGTTTTACTCAATCTCATGGGTTCTTTCACAAAATAGTTTTAAAAGGTTTCTAATGGTATATTATTGTTTAATTGATGATTTAAAATGAAAATAGTCCATGAAACCATGATTTCTTTCTAGTACTAGTTTGTGCCTTAATGAAGTGGGTTGCTTGATTATGAATGTATATGAATAGAACTTGTTTAAATGTCTTTAGATTGTTGAAGTATGTCATTACCCATTCTTATTTTATGGTGTGTTGTTAGTGTATTGGTATATAAGGTTTATGGCCTTAAAGGCAAGATATGAGAAGCTACTTGTTGATTTAGAATTGTTAACTTGGTGTTGATCAACTTGAAAGGTGGAGGTGTTTACTTATTATGTACATTGTGAACATGGCCTTGAAGGCATAGTATGAGAAATTGAAGTGTTATCATGACATTGTATGAATGAGAATTTAATGAAATTAAGGTAAACTTGTCTTGAATGTGAATGTGTTATTATTGAAAGGCCTTTTCTCAATTTGACGCTTATGAATGTTGACGATAAGATTATGAAGGATTATTCAAAATAAAGTATACCTTGAATTGGTAGGTCTTATACATCCTTTTTTTGTATAAATGATTGTATTGTTGATTGTTGAAATCCTTGAATCTATAGGCTAGTAGCGCCCTTCCACACATGTTAATGAGGAACCTTGGGAACGGTAGGCTTATGGCACCCTTCCACTAATGATGGTAATGAACCTTGGAATTGGTAGGCTTATGGCACCTTTCCATGAAGGTTAATGATGAGCCTTGAACCGGTAGGCCTAGGGCACCCTTTCAAGAGGAGTTAATGAGCTTTCCTAAATAAACCTTGAAATTGTAGGCTTGAGGCACCCTTTCATGTGTTAATGAATGAAATTTGGATTTGGCAGGCCAATGGCACCTCTCATTTGTGATAATGTCAAGTAATGAACTATTCTATGGGAATGTAGGCTAAGCACCGAGTGGATTTGGTTAGATGGAAACTCCCCCAATGGTTAGGCATGAGTTTCAATGATCGTATACCTTATCCCGTAAACTATGTGCCCGCATAGGTAGCTAGTGGATCCATTAAGATATATGTACAAGTCTTTCTTAGGCAAGTAGACCAGCTCTTTACCGTGTGAGGACTTATGACACCGGATTCCATGACAAGCTCTCATGGCTATGTCGATTAAACTCTTACTTTCCATCATGTGAGATTTCATTATAGTTCTCGATAGGTCCTACAAACTGTAGGTAGTAGTATGGGATGGTACCTATACATTGCACGAGTAGGCTTGGAGAGGGTCGTAGTGAGTTTCTCTAAATCCTAATGACTGTGACATGAATGTGCCTTAAATAAGGTTATTAAAGAATGTTGCTCTTAAATGCTTAATATGATATGCATGCCATACTTTGGTTATGTTATGAGTTATTTTCCCTTGTCATGTCTTAATAATTGATATATCTCTTATGTATGAATATTGTGCAAAGGTAAAAAGAAAGGAATGATGAGTTTACTTTAGGTGACCTAAATGTTGTACCCTAGTATGGATGGTGGTATGGGACGCTATCCATACATTGCACAACGTATAGCATAAGGGTTTCTTGAGGTGAAGGTCCAAGGTAAAGGTAAAGGTTTTCATGTTGATATTGTTAAAGTTTGTTATTGTGATTTACATAATGATTATACTAGTCTTGTATGTCTTTTATGTACCTATTCATGATCGTTCTAAAAGTGGCATAATACATGGTTTCTAATCAAAATGTCCCTTTTTAAGCATGTTTTGCATGGCCATCATACTTAGTACATTTATGTGTACTAACCCATATTTTTTATGTTTTTACTACAAGTGTAGGTTCCGGCAAATGATTTCTCCTAGATAGTTTGAAATACTGGATAACTTTCCTCCAAGACTTGGCATATCCTCATGGATTCGAGGACAAGACTTTTAAGTTTCTTTCGTTCATGTAATAGACCCC